AGGAAAAAAAAAAAGTGCGGGCCCATTCCAATGCAGAAAAGTCACGGAGATAAAATGGTAGACTGCAGACATTTTTGCCGCACGAGCACCCGTAAGAGACACAGACAGGCAAACAGAAGGAGAACGAGAGCAACATAGAGCAACAGAGATAGCGAGGAGCGAGCGAGGGAGAGAGAGAGGGAGAGGTACACGAGGACGGGCAGGCTGAAAGAATGATCTAAGTGCGATATGTCACCTGTGAGACTGCAGGCTGCCCTCTCGGCGAAACCATGTGCTTGCCACATGACGCTTAAGCCGGAGATATTGCACAGAATTAGTCTGTCTCTCTCTTCATCCACCCGAGCTTGAAATAAGCAACGGAAGCGTGCCGCCATCTTGACTGCTTCTTTGTCGAAGATCACTGCCTCCTTGCGAACTGACCGGAGACGGTACTTCAACTGCCGAAGTGTGGTGTGTCCTCCTTCTCTAGCCCTGCCCGAGCAAGTGAAGTTGATGGCAAGGACTTAGTAACGTAGCTTCCCGCAGCCATCCAGGGACCTGGTTCAGCAACCATACTCTGCTCTCATGACATGGATCGGTGCATGTTGCCAGTACCCTGAAACCCAAATCTCGTGCAGATGGCCATTATGTCATTATGTACACTGACAGCATACTGCAAGAACAACAACGTCCGTGACTTCTCCTGTAGCACTGGTACTCCATGCTACGTCCACCTCCCACGGAGCTGACCACGCATGTAGGGAGCGAGGACGCCCATCGGAAGAACCCCTTGGTCTCCTTCAAGAGAAATCCGCTACAATGCGACTCAAGTCTAGGGCGGTGACTCGTCCGTGATACTCCGATACTGACGACCCCCAACCCCAACAAACTGTCATCGAGACTAGCCCAACAACGCAGTCTGCGCGATTCAGCATTTTCATTTGTTGTAGGGTCTTGTTGCAAAGCTGTTCAGCATCAAGGGTTCTGTGCTCTTGTCCTGGCAGTCGGCGGGCGACACCCACGGGGCGACGCCGAGCATACGTCCTGTACACAGCTCGGGATACCTCGGGAAAGTCTCTACTTACATGTAGCTTGAAACATGCATTCGCAAGATGCTTCTTGCAGCCCGAAAGCTTCGAGGCAAACCGTAAAGCGAATGGCGTTCCCGCACAGAAGAACAGGATGGATACTTTCGCAATCTGAAGCCTTGTCTGCACGTGGTGGCACAGAAATGCGCAGAATAATTTCATGGTTTTCAGGGTCAGAGCAAGCAAGTCTCTTCAGAACTGCGGGATCCACAGGTTCTGCAGCTATGTGGCTAGAAGATCTTCGTCCAGACAGCTCTCGAACCGACGCAAGGGAGTGCGAAAACTATTGCCGAAAGCAGGGGCCCAAAACACCTGAAGTGAGGTTTCGCTTGGTTTCCCAAATTCCAACACTGCTCCCAAACTGAAGGCCACAGCACTTTGCGAGAAGTGCCCTGGCATCGTCAACAGCAGTCTCGAGATGCCAGGCAATCGCCGAAACACCTCAAAGCTCGCCGGCCGGCTTCGGCACCGTGAGTTCCAGATAGTTCCAGCAAACAAGGATTTGAGGTCGGGATTCACTGCAAGGCTCCTCACAGCTTCGCAAGTGCATGATCTGATCTCAGAAGCCTTCCGGTGGATCCAGTGGTGGGCTGGTGCTCCCATTGCCGGGCCGATTTGTGCAAAGGAGCCGCAATTTCCTATGGCACTCACATGATTCCACACGAGCTGTGTCTCAAACGTATCAACTGACGCTGGAACGAGAAGACCCGACATCAAGAGGCAACACGCTCCGATGCTTCCGGGATTCGCCTTGCTGGCGGCCTCCTGCCACATAAAACAACCGTTTGTCAGCTACATGAACCGTGACAAATGCTGACCAAGGATTGCCACCTCACATCGAGCCACATGCAATGTGTCGCACGTGTGTGACGTGTTTAGCTAGCAGCAAGCGCTGTATTCGCCCCTTTTGTCCTCCACGAGCACCAAAGCCTGGCGAGAGCTGCCCAGCGGGTAGAATGTCAATGCAGCATGCCCATCCTCCTGAGAGAATGCAGCTCTGACTCTGCATGATCTACAAGCGCGCCTTGCATGAGCGAGTTGTCAGCCACGTATATCCAGGTAACAGCAAACTGGTTGGGAAAGCTCAACCCCCGCAGAGCGCGTCTTAATCATGCCGGACGTGCCGATTGAGTGAACTTTCTGGGTAGGGTCGGGCATTGAAGGGAAGGCAAATTGCACGTGTGTTTGTGCTAGCCGGTGACTCTGCTGAGTTCCACTGACTGATCGGTTTCAACTTTCCGAGTTGTGCATTCAAGTACATGGCGTGTCTTTTTCTCCAAACTCTCAACTGTTGCATTTCGCCTGTTGGAATCCTTATACACCCAACCTCACGAAGATGATTCCATATCCGATCTGCGAGATCGGAAAGATTAATGTACGACTGTTCGACTTTTAGCAACAGCTGTTTGACGTTGTTTGTGTCGGCTGGTCACTCGTGATAGGGACGACTGCTCAAACAAAACGTTCCGCAAACACGTAGGCCCGGATGGCTGGATGTCGACAAGTTTCTACGAGGTGCGCATCCAACTTCTTGAGAGAGAAGGTTCGCGGCGGCAGGCGGCCCGCGATAGTGGTGCCAGCTGCAAAGTTTAGATGAGGGTTCAACGTTGCCTATTAAGCAATCTTGGGTGTGATTCTGACGGTTGTGTCGATGGTCCTCCACGGTTTCGGGCTTGGGTCCCCTCCTTTGGATGCGCTTTTGGGTTCACCTCCCTCCTCAGCCGAGCATAAACTAGCGAAGCAGTTCCGAGGTGGCTATCGCGTTACCGGATACCTTTTCAGCTAAGTGGCGACTCTCCATGCAGTTTTGTCTTCTATTGCTCAGGATGGGCCATGCCATGACTCCTGGCTTCAACATGAAGCTTGAAACTTCAATTTTCTCTGGCTTAGTGATAACGACCGAATTGGAAGCGCAAGCCGTTGCCAGCAGCACCAGAAGCACTTCATTGTTTCCCAACCGTGACGGGATTGTAGAAAAGGTTGCATCACGATGCATCACAAAAGGGTCCAGTGTCACGCTGTCTGCACTTCACTGGCCAAGCACGATTTGGGCTGTTGCATGGCTCCTCCCCAAGGGTGCCGAAAACCACGTCGCGGCCACCTTCACGGCGGAAGTGCCCTTCATGAACGGCCACAGCAGCCATGGCGATGGATTTGCCAATTGCTTCAGAGTGTTGTGCGTGTCTGTGTCAGTGCTGCTGCAGACATCTTCAGACTTGCATCATGTCAAGCTCAAGATGACAGATGGTTCCTGCTTAGACGTGGAGTCGGGCTGCTCACGTACCCACGTGAAGAAGAATCTTGGTTTAAGGAGCTTTCCGGCGATGGCCTGAGTTGGCACGTCAGGACAAATAAAAGTGGTGTAAGTAAGATGCTCAACAAGCCGGATGGACATTGGAAGCACTCACAAGGAGATGGCCCATGGGATGCCTAGGTAGCTCAAGTGAGTCATCGGTATGGTTTGAGCCACGAGCTCGTTCGAGCCCCCTGCCACGCCAAGGACCACACCGGACCTGCAGGCTGGGGTTCACTAAAACGACACGATGTCGTGCCAGTGCATGGCTCCGGAATGTTCCGGAGCTGTCGGTGCACCTTCGTGAGCCAGAGGTAAGCTTTCCACTGGCGACGAGGAGCCATGGATGCCCCAGAAATGGATGGCACCATCGTAGCCTCCGGACCTTGGGAGGCACTTCTGCTCTTGGCAGCGAACTGTGCCCACGGCAGGCAGAACACTTTAACGCTGCTGGCCGCAACTTGATGGGTTGGACCGTGATCTTGGCCGCAACAGCACCCGAAGCATCACAACCGCGGTGGTTCTGCAGGCAAACCCAAACCAAGTGACAGCTAGCGCGTAGATGTATATATTTATCATTATATGGAAGCTTCAAAAGATGCTACTGCTAAAACCCGTGGACTCCGGGGACACTGCGAAGTTGAACCTGTCCGAAACCGGCAAGATGCAGGTCGCCACTGTTCTGTTGCTCTCTTTCTGCGACAAATGACCGGCAATGTTGTACGTGATCCCAACGAGGATTGAGGGTCGCGCGCAAGCAAGGAGTCTGACTCTGGATGCCAACAGAGAGAGGTGACCTGTTCGGCTGCGCTCGGTATTCCAACACTTTTGCCAGCACCGTGCCGGGTGAAGCAAGACGGCCTCTTTCTGATGAGCCTTGAAGACCTTCCGCACACTCATCGTGCGCACGTCCTAAGCGGAATGAAAGGAGAGAAGTGACCGAACTTTGAGCGAAGGTTGCAAGGCTCCGGCCATGAGCATGACCAGTTGGTCTCTCGAGGCACTCGCTAGCCACTGGCCGTGGGGGCTCCAGGCCTTATGTGCAGACGCGATCCGCCTCAAGTCCTTTGCAGACTAGACCCGTCAGCAAGCCTAGTCCTTTACAAGCCGACTGAGCCGGCCCATTTTGCATTCGTGTGCGAGCTTTTCTTCAGAATCTGACAAACAGACTGAACTCTGAGGAGCAAGCTACACGCGTGACGGTGTTCTTATGGCAGAAGATAGTGGTAATCGCTTCGGATGCTCGGGGATCCCAAAGTTTGATCTGGGAATCCTGCCAATCGCATAGGCTTGATGTGATCAACGCAAAGGTTGGCCAAGTCGTTCCAGAACCTTCGAGCCAGTGGCCACCAAGCCCTTGGTCGGGTGCCATGCGCAGCACCTCAAAGCTCACAGCACGTGCACCACTGCCTGGAGTGCCTGGAGGCTCCAGAGAGGCAGCTCTCAGCTGCCGACTTTACATCCCAGCCATGACCAGTGAAAGCCCGCTCCTTAGAAGTCTGCACTCAGAACTAAGCGGCCAAACCTCCCGATCAATTCCGATGCCTCTTCGCCGGTCTTCAGGTCCCAAACCTCTCAAAAGACTGCGAGGACATAGGGTCCGGTCCCTGATTCACCACTTGCCTTTGCATGTGAGTCGTCTGCACAGGAGCAGAATTTTTCCCCAGTCGGCGCTACCTGGACGCACAGTCATTGATCATGCACTGCCGCTTCACCGACTGGACAAAGGCGAATCAATGCTCTTGTAGCCTGAGGCCTTTGCTGCTATGTCGCACACGGAGTCCTTGTGGCCCTGGAAGGTCTGGAAGTTGTAGATGAATGGATCCTTAGCCAAAGCCGCAAGGCCTTTGCTTGGACCGTCCTTGTGCTCTTGGAACTCTTCTGAGGCAATGTTGCAGTTGCTCGTTGTGCCGCAATAATTAGGTCAGCAGGTCTTGCGTCGACCCACCTCCCTGTTAACAGCTCTGCGCTCCACGGTCCCGCATGGGCTTACTCAAATGCCTCCCATGCCTTGGCGATTTGCCTGGGCCTGCGTGTTCGCTTCTACCATCTCTCTGCTTCTACTAGAAGCCTCTACTAGAAGCCGTTTGCACGCGGTGGGTGAGCCACATCAGGTGGCATCTGAGATCGTCGCCCAAAGCTTGATCATGCCCAGCTGGTCACCGCTCACCATGACGGCCTGTTACAAGCAGCACCGGCCACCAGTAGCGAAGGCGCAGCTGCTGAGGGTCGTGAAGCTTTTCTTCAAGGTTCTTTGGCATGCCTTGTCTTCCTGGGCAAAGGGTGGTACGAGTCTGGGGAAATTGTTCGTCAGGGTCGAGAAGGAAGCGAGCATATCAAGAAATCAATACAACCGACAAATTTCTGATTGAAACAGTTACATCTTGGGGAAGCGGCAGGAGAAAAGACGGGGAAGTTCTAGATAACGATTTCAGTCCTACGTGTGGCACTCGCCGAGGATTGCGGGTTGCGGGTTGTGAGTTTCAGGGGTTGTCCTTAACGGTTTGAGGACACGACTCGGACACGACTCTTGCTGCCACCTCCCAGTCTCCCACTGCCTACTTTACGGTGCAGGGTTGCACCACCTCTGAAGCCCAAGTCTGAATTGCTTCGAGCTTCGGCCTTTGACATGTGGCAATTGCAGTGTGTGTCACCTGCCTCGTCTGGAGTCCAACACATCGCCTTGATCCCGGCCTTGCCATGTCGATACACCCAATGTGGTAGCTGACATCATGCACCAAGCCGCTGAGTGCACGACGTTGTGTGCCTGCATGACATTCTCGGAATGAAAGGCCAAACCTTGCTTTTTGTCAATGCTCATCACAAATTCGACGCATCTTCTTTGATAAGAGCCTTTGATATGGCTGCCATTGGGTGCCGGAGCAAAACGATTTCAGCAGGATCCAAAAGCAACTTCGCCCCAGGATTTTCGGTTAGATCACACCTCGTTAGATTCTATTATCTTTTATCATCACATACAGTGTTATATCAGGTAATATCACATTATGTCACATTTTATTCTACTCTAACCTATTCCTTCAATTCAATTCAATTCCATTCTATTCTGTTCTATATCTGTTTGTTCTTTTACAATAAATATCAGTAAATTATAAAAAAATACGACATCATTAAATGCTACATGTTGATATATTTTGGTATATTATTAATTTTACCCGATATTACGATACATTGTCTTGTGTTATCTTATCTTGTCTTGTCTTATCTTACATTGCGTTACATTCATACCATTCGGTTATCTTTTGTTGTATTATAGTATATTTCGTTCCATTGTATTCTGTTATGTTATGTGATATTATCTTGATGCAACATATTATTATATAATATGCTAACTTGTTTTATTGAAGTACATTATATACTTACATTCTGTTATATGGTTCTCATCTGACCTGATTTGGCTTTATCTCGTTCACATGGGAATTTCAACCTCCGTCAGCTCATTTACCTTGAAGTTTGGGCGACATGTGATGCATGTGACATGCAAATGTGACAAATCAGGTGAGAGAGGCGTCCTGGCAAAAAAGGAGGAACCACGTAAAGGACAACATCATCGAACCACTTACACGGCTGGGATGTCTTGTCTTATTATGCTGTTTGCTCTGTTGCTGCTGGTGCTGTTGTGACCGTGGTTGTGGTTGTTGTGGCTGTGGTAGTGGTTGCTAATGTTTGTATTTGCGTTTGTGTTGGTATTGCTGTTGCTGTTGTTGTTGCTGCAGCAGTTGTTGTTGTTGTTGTAGCCGCCACGGATCACAGAAGGCAGTGTAGCCGCGCTAACCAGGCTTTGGGTGCAAACTCTCAAGGCCCGCGTCAGAAGCGTAAGAGTTGTCCGACAGCTTGAGCCATATGAACGCGCTGGAGCATGGCACCTCTGTGATTTGCCGGGTCCCAATTCCGTGGCCTAGTGACGAATGACATGACATTTCTGTCCCGACGGAAGTATGCGGCAGGGTTTGGACTCGAACACCAGAATTCATTTCAGAGCATTCGCGAGAGAGGCTTTCGCAAAGCTTGCAGGTCTTCCGCACGCAGGTCAGACAAGACTATACCGCCGCGATCCACCAGGGCATGATACCCTGAACACCTGAACGCCTGAGGCGAAGTGGATTGGAACCCGAGGTTCTTGCGGCGCATTCTGCGGAGCCTGCCCCCACCCCCTCGACCCCACTTACTCAGCATTCAATCGGTCGAGCGAGAGGTGGACGCCTCAGAGAACCGCTGCGCATGCTTCCTGGAGCACGGTCAGAAATCCAAACTTGGTAGCCCTCCAGTGCGCGCAACACATGCGACATCCTTGCTCCACAAGAAACACATTGGAACGAAGCGGCTGATTCTGCAGTTGAAAGATGGCACTTCATCAGCCCGCAAAGGGGGCTCATTGATGCTCATTGGGCCCCGAAGGGAAGGCCAGGCAACGCCGGGCCACCTGACACTTGCAGCGCAGGCAGCTGCACACGATGCAGTGGATGCTACTCGCACAGTAGATACCAACCGAGCTGATGGAGTGCTGCTGCTGCGGCTGCTTTCGCCGAATATTGATAAGAAGCAGGTTTGCTGGAAAGAACATATCAAGGGTCGCCTATTGCAGGTTACCTTTCCATGGCGAAGGGCCAGAGTACACGTGTTGGTAGCATATCAGCATGCCTCGTCATCGCAGAAATCGTGCCATGTTGTCCGTGCCATACAGGCAAGGAAACACTTTGCTACTGACGAGAGATTTCAACGCCCAGTTAAAGGCGATACCGGGGCTCGTCGTTGATGGCAGCACACAATCCGATTCCTTAGGCGTCTCCGACGAGGCTTTGTTGAAATTTGTGGAGGCACCTCGCCTCCTTGCGCTAAGCTTCTGGAGCTGCAGTAGAGGCCACACTTTTCAGCACGGACAAGTCACAGAATTTCGTTTGCAAAATTTCAGGCATCCTCCAAAGGCCCAACCAAGGGTTCTGCCCCCACTCAGGAACTCGGCCTTGGCAGATGGAAGCGGGGAGGACATACTCCCATTTTGGCTCAGGTCGTCCGGCCGCGCGGAACTTTCTTTCCCACGCAGGACCAGCGCATGAACGTGCAGCATAAAACAACCATGAGCATGTGGCATAGACTTCAACAGCTGGAGCATGACATTGTGTCCAATGCCCTGACAGATGCTGACCACAAGCAGCTCCTGGACGACCTGGGCACCTGGCACAAGCAGGCCCTCAACTTAGCCCGAAAACAGCGCGCCCAGGAGTTCCAGACTGAGGTGGACGAGGCTTGCGCAAGGGATCCTTACATAGCACACAACACACAAAACCTTACTTACGTAAGCTGCGCCCATGGGAACCCCAGTGCGAGCACAGCTACAAAGCCCGGAGGGTTTTCTGCTGGCCCAAGACGCTTTGGCGTTATGAGAGGACCATGTCAAAACCCTCTTTCCATGATGAACTGCTAGCCAAGCACATAGGTTCCATACGGCCCCACAATGCGGTGCCGGCTGGTTCGGCTCCAGCAGCAGCCTGGCGACTGTGTGCCGACGCTGTCGGCTCTAGCGATGTTGGGGGTTGGGCACCGTTCGGCCTTCACTGAGACGGATTAAGCACGTCTCGGATAGGTCATGTTACGAATGATGTGCGCCTCTGCATGTGACTTCCAAGACAATGGCCTCAATGTGCCTCGCCAGATGCACCGCTGTGATGTGATGCAGGCATGGTTAAACGTCCACCAATAGGCTGGGACGCGCGGGGGACAGTTGCGAATCTTGCGGCGGCGCTTGTTGCTGAGCTCGGCGAAGAGTATGGCTTGGGGCGGAAAGGAGGGTTTCGGCGCCACAACTACCCTCACTTCTCCTGGTCATGGTCTCTTTAACATTGCGTGGTCAGGTTTGTCGAGCCCCTGCTACATGCTGTCCACGCCCGAAGGCCGTGGAACACACGCCTGCGTGGCGATGTGCTCCTGTGCTTCGCTGCTGTCGCACCTCATGTAGTGTGCGTCCGGGTCGGGGGCTTCAGAGGCTGCCCGCATGAAACATGTCAGGAGTGAGTCAAAGAGTGAGAAAGTCAGAGAGCACCGCTGAGCACGGACATCCATGGTCAGCCGCCAGCCACAGGATCACAGCGCTCGCAGCACCACATCTACATCGTGTTTCGGACTGGTCAATAGGTTGGCCCAATTCCTGTGTGATCCACGACCGCCCGTTGGACAACACACCCAAGCCCATCGAGACTGACCATGCGCAGCCGCGCACCAAGCCCGCCGTTGTTTCCAGTGCCTTCGGATTGGATTGTTGGGCTAGCCCTGCTGTTGTTCCGCACTCGTCAGCTGTGGCTCCAGCATGCCTATACCCCACCCCTGCGCCTACTACAGTAATAATGCACCAGCATCTCCAGCAGATCAGTCGAGCCACCTTCGTTCCCAAGCACATTGGCTCCGAAGTGGCAATTGCTAACCGCTCGCCAAACAACCGCCACGTGCAAATGTGCCGAGACGCTGCCCTATTCAACGTTGGTCGTCAGGTCATAGACGATCATAATATATCATCATGATATAATGACCGTGAACTCAGGAGGGCAAGATCATACCCGGTGTGGGTGGGTGGGAAAAGCTCAGTGTGATCTTGACCCAAAATGGCCACGATCATCAAAGTTATTACCGCCGATCACGCCACACAAATTGTCACTCCAGCAACGGCAGGCCATTGTTTTTCTCGACAATTTGCTAACCGCTCCCCAAACAATCCCCACGATCAAGTCCCCAGAGACGCTACTTTATTCGCGGGCCAGCACGTGCTCCAGTTCTGGAGGGAAGTGCTTCGGCTCCGGAGAAAACAGGCGTGACAGACTTGGACGAACCATCCGCCTGGACAAAGCTCACGCCCGGTATGTGAGTGAGGCCCCGCACTTGACAGGAACGGAGGGTGACTTGGCGCTCCCCTTTGAAAGGGCTCGGAGAAAGCCAAGATTATCCGACTTGGCTTTGTGCACAGCTCCAAAAGGGAGGCTCGGGAAACAAAGCCTGAAGGCCACCAGATTTTCGAGGCCTTCCCGGAGCGTGCTATACTTCGACACGCCCCGTTCTTCCGAAAACTTCTCGAACAGCTCGTCCGGCAGGTTGCTGTAGAAGACCTCGACGGGCCGACCCGGCAGATGCCTCCAATACCGCAGGGCGAGGCGGCTATAGGAGTCCTTGATATCCATGCCGGCGAGGAAAGGTTTTTTTGTAGACCGCGAGGAATCACGAGGAGTGAGGTCACGACGTCCAGCAAGCGCGGCAGGTCATCCTGCACCCTTGGCGTGGATGCCCGTCGGCTCCTCCTTGCTGCGTTGGGCCGCGACCCGGGTGTGTTCTGGATGTCCCAGTAGTTGGTGAAAGCAAGGGAAACGCGACGACGGCCGCTCAAGAAGAGGGCTCGCGGATATACCAGTGCCCGCCAACCCAAGGGCGCGATGACCGGGGCGTCCACCTCCCACAAAGGAATCCCAAACCCCAAACGAAGATCGCGAAGATGAAGAGGCAAAGCCGTGCCGACGAGGCCTCCTCCCAAACAACGATCAGCCCGCCCAAGGAGGCATAACCTACCGACCACGCTAGGCAAATTTGTCCCTCCAACAACTGCAGGCTAGTGTTTTACTCAGCAATCATTCGAAGAGCCGCTTACTTACTCCTAGGAACAACTGAAAGTACACTTTACATTCCGTGAATTGCGACTTCTGTGCTTTGCGGCTTCTGCTCGCACCACAAACTTACCCAAATGTCTTGCCTTTGAGTCTTGAACTTACAACCTCAGGACCCTCAAACTACCCGAGAAGAGCGTCCGCAAACAGTGACATACAAACAGGATCACGACCGGAGCGTACCACGTACTGTCACAATCGTTTTGTGTAGTGTAGTTGCCCTGTGACTCGCTGCTCTTATGCATGGTCTTGCAGCTCCGCGGCCATTCCAAATGGTCATCTCGCCTGCAAGTGTACCAGTGAGAATGCGGCGGCCTTGGACATCGGGCTGGCTTGAGCCTAGAACAAGTTCGCAAACCTTTCCTCGGCTTCTGGGAGAATATTGCATACTTGTTGGATCTTGCTGGCAATAGCATTAGCATTGCTTTAGCCTGGTGTGCATCGTAGATCTCCTCACTACATGCAGTGGCCACGGTTATAGGACCGAAACACCTGTTCATTTCCGCGTGCAGCAATCCTGGTACCAATCCTTCTTGCACCATGAATATTGAAGGCTTCCCCAGTGCCACAGACACTGTCTGCACACAAACGGAATCTTAGATCTTTATTACACCAGCACAGCGCAAGCAACTTTCCGAAGATCGTTGATCATCCCAATATTCATGAACGGTTTGACCCTCTCCGGTCTAGATGCGCTCAACAAAATGTGTTGGCACGAGTGCGAGGCTCAACTGAATGCTGTGTGTCCGAACGCACCGAACCTTTTCGTGCTTTCAAAGCCGTGTGCTGCGGGAATAGCTGGACATGCTTCCTAGCTGGACATGCTTTTGGTCAGGACTGGAGTGCCTCTCCTGGCGCCGCACCGTTGGGGAACCATGTCGCCACGTAGACAGGCGACCTATCAAGACGAGTATGACGCTAGGCAGCAATACTCCGCACGGGCGCAGCAAGACTTCTAACGGCGAATCCTCACCTCGAAGATTGCCTGATTTGGCCGAACACTCCACCTCTACAGCCTAACGGCATTCTATATATGATCATATATGATCAGTGCAGAGGCCTGTTCTTGTTCACAGCTGCATAGACGAAGCGGGGGCAAATGCCGTCGTACGGGTTTCGCGGCCTGGCTCGGGTCAGACCAATTTCTGAAGCCCTCCGCGGGTGTGCATCGCCAGAACTCAGGTTTGCAAGGTTTTCGAACTTCGAAGCTTCAAGACGTGGCAGGGCCGGCATCGCGAAAGGAGGAACCAGTTCCTTCGTATAGTTGTAGTGTCCTTATCTGCAGGAAGATCTGGAACTCAACCCTCACCCTCCATGCATCCGGCAGATGTCTGATGATGTCTGAGTGACGAGCTTTGCAGGCGCCTCGGCCGCGTACGACGCCCCACACAGTCCTGTAACAGGGCTTCCAACGTCACGGACTGCTGAGCCTGTGAAGGAAACCCTGCAGAACTCGGGATCCATGCGCACTGCAAGCCTCCATCCATCGGACCACGTCGGAACCGTAGTCCACAGTGCGTTTCGTGAACTTCCGAAGCTGGGCATCATCGATGCTCTTGCCCTCGAGTGTCGTGGTTTTCAGACTTAAAAAATGCAAATTGAAGACATGGCCTTGCCCTTGCCGTATGGGACAATCTCGTGACTCATTGCACGAGGCCTTACGGCGGCGCCACTGATTTGCAGATCTCAAACGGAAACATGTGCGGGCAGATCATCCTCGCAGTGAGGTGATTCATCGCAGATTAACATCTAGCTGAGTTCATCTATCTGCTGAGACTCAGGCACATCGCACTTTGAATGTGGGCAGTGTGGAGGAACACCCCAATGTCTGCAAATCTACGGCTTTCGATCCTACGATCCCCATGCATCGAACAGGCACTTTCACAAGATAAAACGCCGTGAGGACTCACGCATGGAGCGATTTGTACGTTCAATCACAGGACACGAATTCCAGTAACTCTGGCTGTCTAGATGCTATGTTGGTCTTGAACATGTACGAATACATGCAAGAATATGCTGCGGGCAGTGGCTTTTTATAGTGTAAAGCCAGTGTGATTACACAGAAGTGCAGCATCCGAAACATGCACATCTGATCTCTTTGGACTTGCAAGCCTTTGGTCTCCAAACTGTCTGTGAAACCGCGGTAGCTGGATACCTTGCTATCGCCTGGAAGTCTTCAGACCAGGTCTGCCTGCAGGTCGCAAGCCGACGTGCTAGAGGTCGTCAATAGTCTAGTGGTTTTTGCTCTAGTCTTGCTGGACGGTCCCAAGCACTGGCTTTGTTTGGAGCGACTGAGGGAGTGAACTACCAGTTGTGGTCGCAGGCTGCTATCTTTACACCGACACGCCCGCATGAAACCGTTCATGCAGAATCATTTCGAGCATAGCCTGCACTGAGGATCCAGCTCTACTGAAAGCCGGAACTCACTGCAACCGAATTGGAGTAGGAAATGACTAGTGGTTGGGTTTAGCAGGATGGGAGAGGTACGCCTATCCGTGCCTTCGCAGAAAGAAGTGAAGACCCACCCATGTTCACCCTGTAGCCTCTAAGTCATTACCATGACGTAAATCCGGATGTCTCGATGCAAGGCTTGGGGGTGCTGGCTTTAAGGTTTGAGGGTGTGTGCACATTCCCAAGTTTACAAACGCGAACCTCAAACGCGAACATTTGGGATGCCAAGTCTAGCAGCACACATGTACGACGGCAAGCCACATGCTTCGTTGCCTTTTCTTCATCTAAAACGCTCTGAATCTCTCATCTACCTTCCTGGTTCTTGTACTTTCGCTGACAAACATGTGGTGTCTATCATAAGTGCTGCAATTCACTCTTTTCATCCCTGTTCACTCCCTTCCCAACCACCGGCCACCCACCAAGGCACCCGTTGACTTGCAGACTCTCCCACCCACACATTCTTCCTCACCAGTCACGCTGACTCTTACTGAAACATCGTGGCCATTCTGAAGACGAGCAGGACAAACGTGCAGCAAGTAGCAAAGTTTGCACGTGAGATAAGATCGTAGAATTCTTTGCAGCCAGCCGATAATGCAGACAAAACCCCGCTTGACGAGTTGATTGGCAGTGGCAGTGCCAGTGCGTCTACTGCGATCCGAAGGAACTGGCCTCCTCGCGCAGATATTCGCCAACCTGAAAGAGGTCTTAACAAGGCTTCTGAAAACAACTGTGAGCTGGATTGCGTTGGGTGAAGAGCCATGGCTGCCCTAGCTGCAAACTTTGGCTGAACATTCGAAATGAGATGCGAAGGGGAGTTGGACAAGCTTGTTACCTTGTAACACACTGCGAACTCGCTCGCACTCGCCAGTCCGGTGTCTGAGTTTCTTGGTGCGCTTCGAACGTCGCACCGCCAGCGCTTGGCACTATGTGCCTGTCTAAGCGACGCAAACGACACGTTCGGCACGAACGGTGTGGCTCCGACCTCGGGCCTTCAAAGCTGTCGAACGAAGAACACATGCGAAACTGCACAATTTCTCGCAACTGCTAGAACGAAAACACCAACACTAGACTCGATTGCTATCATATAGCGACGACCTGGATTAACATTCCAAGCCGAAGGACGAAAACCTTCGAGGCGCTATCTATCTATCTATCTATCTATCTATCTATCTATCTATCAATCTATCTATCTATATGGACATATGGTGAGGTGACAGTTGTGGCGAGCACCGCGCGAGGCACTTCTAAGCGACAACAGAGTCGCACACAAACACTTGTCGGCGTTTGTTGTGAACGCATCAGCGGAGGTCGTTCAACTCGGTCGGCACAGTAGGCGAACTCAGGGAGGGCGGTTCCTTGCCCGAGCACCGCTGCCTCTTGTACAGTGGTCGTAAGAGCGACTTGCCGACTGCCCCGAACACTCACGTGCAGACAAAGTTGTCAGCTTCCCTGTGAACCTGCGGGTGGAGCTGGAAGACCCGAAGGGCTTCTTGGATCATCTCGCGAACCTTCTTGTCCCGGCGAAGCGAACAGGAACTTGTCCTGGATCTCCCGATCGCCCAAGACCCCTACCAGCGTGCGCCGGAGGTTGGGCCGTCACCTCTTTCATCCGAAAGTCGGAGTAAGTTTGCGTGTCGTGGAACCAACCAGAAGTCATCGACGAAATGGGCGGCAGCCACCCACATAAGCACAGGGCAACAGCTACCCTTACGCGGCTCCAAACCGATCGAGCAGAAGTGTAGCACCTGCTGGGTGTGGCATGGTGTGGCCACACTGCGTCCTCTGATGATCCAAGCAGGGGGTCGCGCAATAACAAAAGACTTGGTTCGCCACATGAGGCCACCTTGTGCACTGCTTCAGTCAGAAGTTGGGCACCTTGGTATGCTGGTGAGTGACAGCGTCGCATCGTATCCTGACCGGAGCCAACTTGCAACCCCAAAACAGGTCGGACACTATACTTCGCGACAACCTGGCCCGTGCCTTGGACTTCCTTGACATGGCTGGTGGCTGGAGCTTGGGCCAGCCACCACATTAGTTCCTCCATGTTCCTCCCTGCCGCGGAGTTCCTGTTTCTGATCGAACTGGCGCGCGTTGGATGACGCTGACTGTCGCCACCTGTGGACCGTGTCCCCCAACTGAACCCGCATGGCGAACGCTTCGTACTCCGCTGTGGTGCGGCTTCGGTTGCGAAGTTGTGCCCGGGAAAGAAGACGGCTTAGGCTTAGGTACTTGTGCATCCCTGCGGCTGCGAACTGCTCGGTGACTGGTACCCTGCCTGCGAACATGTACTCGAACAGTCGAACACGCTATTGGCACCAGCATCTTCGAGCCTTCCGGGTTACTTGGGGCCAGCCGCTGTATCGGCATCCTATCTTGTAACTATGCCGCGAGTTGGCCCTTGCGAGCATGAACTGATTTGAGCGACCGTCGGCACCGACGGACCATGGCTTCGGCGGGGGGGTTCTCAAGTTGGCTCGCTTCGGCGAATTATGCGAACTTGACTTGGCAGGCGCGGTCGGTGCAGGGAGTGGACGTACTTGTAGAAAAGACCCAGTGGCACAAGTCTGTTCTTTGGGTAGCGACTTCACCGGCACTGAACCCGTTGGTGACGCCCACTCGGCGCGGCGATGGAACGCTCGTCTTTGCGGCTCTGTTTCCGCCGAAGGGGCCGCGGGCGTAGTGGACGACGACGTAGGGCCCCAGGGGCATTGGCCGACCTGGCCTCTTGACGAACCTCACAGCCCGGCCTCCGAAGGCGGCTCTCGGTCGTCACCACAAGTAAAGGCTCGACAAAGTTGTGGACCCATAATGCACCAGTGGTGGTGGTTGAAGTAATGTATCAAGCGGCTCGTGCGTATGGCTCGGCAGAACACGAAAGTCCCCGGGCGGAAGATCTTCAGGCGAGACGAACTGCAACCGAAATAAGAGCTTACATAGGAGCATGCTTTCCAGGACATGTCACTCTAAGATCATGCCCATCGCAAACCATGCGATGATGGGGGAAGAATCACATGCAACAGCTCGTGATCATCGTTCATGACGCATGCTTGGCGACTGGGGGAGGCCGGAATTCTTTATCGACTCTGTCCTGCACATCAGGTCTTGGCATGGAAAATACACCGGAAGCATACATTCAACTTGCATGCGCAGGACATCTTTCCCCGAATCGATGTGACGTCCAATGTCGCCCTCCAGTCTCGTGACAAGGGGCGGGCGAGCTGTCCTGACAGCTTGCGCTAACGAGATCAAAATCATGAGCGTCGATGGAAACAATCAAAAGATGGTGAGCCTATATTGTTTCCCGAATCCACCTTGCTCTTCCACTCGTACTCGTGGCAATACTACGTCGTGAAGATGCGATGCCTTCGCCAGCCCCCTTCTTCATAGGGTTAGTCTGTGTCTCCATGGCCGCCGAAAAGACAGCCCCCCCACCCTTCAACTTCTACCCCAGCTTTTTTGGAGATCGTTGTGGGCGCTCAGAGCACCCTTGCAGATGCCACAATCGTCGCTACACCCAAAACCATTGGCACGGGGTCATGCAGGAGGCTAAAAAGCCCTGTGCATGCAACTTCAGTTTCGACATGTTTCGATCGTATACCTTTCTGAGGAAGTTTGCCATGGTTCATCTTTTGGAGGCCCCGGCATCTGCTTGATGGTAGACCACCAGAGCCTGTAGGGCGGGCACGCCATGAGAACAAGAACGCGAGAGCTCGAGAGCTCTGGATTGCCATGTTCGCAGCAACGGGCACAAAGTGCACCGCATGCGAGACGCCTCCGCCCCAAGATTTGTGCACTCTTCCGTCGACCTGTAAGCGCGCGGGGATTCTGGGGTTCCCGCAGCGAATTAAACAAATGATGTATTGCGAGCACAAGTCAACATACGCAGCAATGCCACGGCCCCGCTTTTCAATGCGACGGCACGGACGGCCTCGCTGTGACGCCAAAGCCAATTGGCACATCAGCCTGTGCTGGGTCAGCATGCCAGCGATCACGCGTGCACCATGCAGATTCAGGCGCCATTTCCTGCCTCGTTTAGAACCACCACACCGGCATTCCGCGGGGCACCCTCCGTGATTCGGCGGAGGTGGGCCTCGCGATGAGCGCAACCGCTGGCGGAGTTGGCTGATGATAACGTTGCGTAGATCCTTGAACCAGCTCTCGCCGCTCTCACACCTCCTTTCACTCCGCCCACCATGTCTTGCCCCAGACGGGCTACACAGGTGCAAGTGGCGAAGCTTCAATTCTAGGTTAAGTATATAGAGGAACCTTACGGACATTTACGGACTCGGGAATGGAAGCAGCCCCCTCGACAAATAAGGCATGTCAGATATCATGGAATCGCTATCAGCATGGAATTGACGGACCCGTGAATCGTTGCAACACCTTTGACAAGGTGCAGGTTCACTCTGAACGCTTTACCACATTCGACAGTCCTTCAGGCTTCAGCCACTTGCCCCGTTGCATGCAAGAGTATCAATAGGGATGATGCTGATGCTCTGCTGCCAGTCCAAGACTTGTACTTGCAACGACTCTTAGAACTCATGTGTGAAAGAATAACATCCCTATCAGGTCTACCAGGCTAAAGGCCACCTGCTAGCTGCGTTCGAAAACTGCAATGGGCTCTGTCTCTCCTCGCGAATATTCGTCAACATCCTATCTCGGATGAGTTTATCGCAGGAGAAGGGCCACCAAGCGAGCGAATTACCGTGGGTGGATCCTGGTGCCACTCGGCTCGCACTGAAATGTCCTGAAATTCAACAAAATTGCGGCAGGCTCGCTTGAAGCAAAGATTCAGAGCTTGTGGCAAACCGCACCCAGCTATCGAGAGAGAGACAGGGAGTTGAGTGCAATGTAGCGATGGCACCATCTTCTGCCTAGTCCGGTCATTAAAAGCGTCGGATCTCCATATAGTCTCCGAACCTGATGAAACCCAGCTTGGCAACACACCTGCTCGGCTCCAACTCGTGCAAACATGTAGAACCCCACCCCCCTCCCAAACTCTTCTGTCGCTTCCCTTGGTACGCAGCCTGAAGTCGAACTACTGAGCACTATACAAATTTTAATGAAGCTTCAAGAGTTGTCACTCAAATCAATCAATGCTCCCGAAGGTTCAAGAACTCGAGAAGTGCCTCGTTGTTTGACAAACCAATGTACCTAACGAACACTGTCAATAAGCAGCCGGGAAACCTGTGCCTGCCCCAGGTCTTGGCTGAGACAAACACAGTGCTGGCCACTGGTCGTAGCTGCCAGCTATGTCCCAGCTGCTCACCGGCATGGCCACAGGGGTTGTCCGAGAAAAGCATTCAAGTTCTTGACAAACTGCCCATACATAGTTGCATGCATTCAGAGACCGAAACTGAGGCTTGAGTTGAAGGTGTCGTGCATAACTACTGCGAGTTTCGTGGCGAGATTGCCAGGACAACCGGCCGACCAACTCAAGTTGTCGATCCACTAGTCGGTCCATCGCTCTCATTCGGAGCTACTAGTGAGTCCATCCGTCGTAGCAAGTAAGCCACAACCTTACGGGCCTCACCGCCCTTCCTTCATGTGCAAGCCTTCTGATCCCGGACGAACGGTTTGTGCCGTGATGCTAAACAACAACTTCCCCATCTGCATATGGCAATTTCACGATAGCTTCCTTGACGGCAACCACACGCAACCCGTTCGCCACTCTGCATTCTCCACCCTGAAGGTTGAGGATCTGACAAGCTCGTGTTGTCTGTATACTGACAGCGCCATTGCACTCAACGTACTGCACCATGCTGACACACCGACCACCCAACTGGGAGGGTATGGCCAGCAGTGGCCAGCACAACACCGGCCGTATGCGATTCGAGTCTGGACTTCCTCTCAAGAATTCTCACAGAAATGCAGGCTTGACCATCGTCAGCATTCTATGGCTATGGAAGGCCCAAACACAGACCTCACCAAAGTCCTTCCGAGTCTCGAGTCCAGCATCGAAAGTTACAAAGCTGCTGAAAGAAACTGCTTCAGTGTGCTGTGAGATTTGCTGAGCAATGGTGACTCTTCTTTATGGGGACATGTGAGGGGGTCTGCTTCATGCAGCCTGTCCACCTGAGGTCGAGCAGACTCTTCCGAAGACGCTGACTCACCTGCTCGAATCATACGTAACAACATAGATAAATCAAATAGAAACGCTAAGAGACACTCCCGCATGCCTAGATCTCTTCATCGAATCGATAAGTCACAGCCGAGGACGAGAATGATCACCTCATGCATTGCCAGCATGCAGGTCGGGCGGACGGCATCTGCGCGTTCCCACCTCCTTCAACTCTTGCTCTCATCTGATAGCCGTTCCATGGCACGCTCCTCGGCTGTTCGCAGCTTTCATGCAGACACAGGAGCAGCTTTGGCGTTCTCAAGGGCAAAGCTGCCTCAGAAAAGTTCGAGAACAGGACCAAAGGGCCTGTCTAGAGCAGCATGCAATAAGCAGCCTGGACAGCTTAAGAAGATATCGCAGCTGGGAGTCAGAGATGCCGATGAGAAAAAGCACCGTGCTCAAATCCATTTGGTTTATTCTGAAGCGCGAGACTTCCTGCACCTGACAACACGCGCTGTCATAGCGTGGGAAAGGGGCGAATGGCTCTGTGAAGAGCAGGACGGTGTGCCTTGGGTTTCGCACAAAAGGCGATGCCGAGTCCAGCTGCATGCAGCATGGGAATGTCCTGACGATGGAGTGGATGCACATGCTGCATGGCATGAAGTGAAGTCCTCTTGCGACATGGACAGAGGAAAGGAGCCGAATGTGGGCAAACAGAGCAAGCAGGGGTCGTTTGCGCCATCACCGACAGCAATGGTCTGCTGGATCTCACAGCCTTCGGCCGACAGAAGGGTCACCACATTAGCAGCATTTTCCTCGTTCGCCTCTGGTTAGGAGATTTGAGTGATCAGCATTCTTCCAAACCGCATCTCAGCAATCTGTAACGTGCGATCTCACGATGATTTGCTGAAGGCAAAACGACGTTATAGGGTGGTTGAGCCTTCCACGTTGGCTATAGTAGCCAGCAGCTGCCGTTTTCTCTGTGGCGTTACCACTGGCCCAGAAGTCTTTCCCGTCAGGAGTCCTTGGCACAAGCACAAGACAACCTTCGAAGAAAAACTGAGCTTGCGCCCGCTGCAGCGGCCCATCTCCTTGCACTCTGCATCCCTAGCCCTAGTCTTTTTAAGGCAAAGTGACCAGCGGTCTCATCCACCTCCAAGGTATTGGCAAAAGCATAGTCCAGGCCCAGATACTTTTGAACCTCTAAGACAGCAGGTTGCAAACACAGAGAAAGCTACAATACAAAAACGAGCTGGAGGCATGCTGGCCTCTTGTGCCACAGGCAAGAAGCCGCCAGAAATAACTGCCGTCTTAAAGCCCAAGCCTCAGCTTCCGCCCACGATTGCAAGCCGCGTGTTTCTGTGATCAAAACTGATGCTTCGTCTCAGCGGCCCGGAAACCTAGGGTTGGAGACGGTTGAAGCCAATGCCATGATTGGTGTTTATTGTGCAAACATCGACTTGTCAATATCAAGCACGCATCAAGCAACTGACCCAAGCAGCTCACAAGGAGAAAGCATGGAACGTCAAGAGTGTATGTTGCGGAGTACCCTAGGTTTGGAATCCACTCCTGGATTACTTGGCAGAGGGCGCACCCAGGTATCCGGCTTGCACTCGTTGGGGCTGGCCGACAAAAAATCAAGAAACGCTACGAGAATGATGAGTTCGAAGTGAATCGCCGCGAAAGACATCATCGAAAGACAGAACTCAGCAGCCCTCACCTCTTGGTTGCTTTGGCTTGGGCCGTGGACCGCTTGGAAGTGAAACGACATGCTTGCATATTTGCAATGAGTTGCACAAGGAATAAGTTTTGCAAGCCGAGATTTGCCGAGGGCAGGCCGCCAAAGGCACAGAAGGGCTTCTCAGGCCTTCCTACATTGAGCATGCAGCCGGCGCTGTGCGACCCAAGTCTTTTTGCGCTCCAGCTTGGCACGCCCTTTTGCTGAAACGCTTGGATGCTCGTCGTGGCGACCCAAGTTCCCTCAATGACCAGTGGGGGCCCTCTGTGCTCGTCGTGGCGAGGGAAGGGCGGAGCCGCTTAGCGGCTTGGCCTCGGCCTCGCAGCCGAGTGCCCCCGAGCAGCATCCTGCGAAACGACAGCTCACGTCTTGGCAAGACCGCTTGAGCGTCTGATCCGAGAGGCAGGCTTGAAGGGGCTTTGGGCAGAAGTTCTTTCATCAGAAAAGATGCGTTCCGAAGGGGATTCTGCGATTTTCTTGGCCAAAATGTGCAGAATGCAGTGCCTTCTCTACTTCGTCTCAGCACCGACAGCACGGACAGAAGTATGCATCAAATGCTTTGGAGATCTTTGGAGGATGCTTCACTTTGGAAGTCCCTTGCCCTCCGAGTCAGCACGTTGGCAGATCAACTTTTCGAGACTGCTCTTGGCACAGGTTTTCCCATGACGGTACCTTTCTGGGATGTCAAATTTGAGGGCTGTTTCAACACGGCATGTCATGAATTTGGAATCCAAGTCTGGATGGAGCATTGAATCTCGTCAGCATGTTACTCCAGCGTGTTGTTGGGAAATGTTGGCAATAAGAGCACTCTGGTTGTAGTAGTGCTCAGCTTTCCGGAAGTGTTGCGCCAGCTGTGATAGGGCCCAGGGCGTCTTGCGATGAACTGCGAGACGTCTTTTTGTACTGCGGCGCATGGTCTGTTATCCTGGGCCCGGCGATGCAAGCAAGGTGGTACGCGATGGAAGGGGGGTCGCGCTGATGCTGGCAGGCCATGCAGATATTTCACGAAAAAGCAGGAGACCGGGAGGCTGGGGAGAGGGAAAACAACCTCGTGCTACATGCACAAAACGTGGCTGTGGTGCCTAATGGACTCTTCAGGGGCATCAAATTAATTGTCGTTCATCTTACATCCGTGTTGCATATTGGCCGACAGATCTAGACCCAGAAGGGTGCTCTGCTATCTGACTAAAACCTGAAACCTGGTGTTCTGAGACGATAAGAATGACGCTACAACAAGTAGTGTGCAGCTCAGAGGCGCTTCAGACACGTGCAGAGCTGCTTGGCACCCGGTGTAAAGATCAAGTTCGCCTCTCGAGCATGTGCAAATCCGAAGCAGGCAGTGGAACGCAGATGGCCGGTCTGCATGTAGCTGGACTCTCCCTCCAGCGTGATTCTAGCCGAATGTATGGCTACTAAGCCATCGTACATGACAAAGACTGAGTGCCGGTGCACCTTGACCTTTGCAAAAAGTTCCTCCGCATTGTGACCTGGACCAGTCAATGCAAGTGAGCCACTTGGTGTGCATTTCCGGCAGGATCCTGCTACACCGTACATCTCCGCAATTCTCCGCAAGTCTACAGCCTCTACAGTTCCTTCTCAAACTTGCAGTTCCACGTCTGTGCAAAGATCATCGAAGATTGATCTTGGTCAAGATTGAAGACTTCGAGATCTCGAGTGTACCATGGCGTTAATTCAAGTTTACACCGGTGGCTACCAGCTTCGCACTGCAGCAACACGTCGCCGCCGTGCCTTTCAGCAGTGCCACACGGGACTTCAGCGATCCAAAAAAATCGAGTTCGCCACGCATCGCTGCTTCAGTAATCTCCTGGCAGGTGAGCAGTAGGCGCTGCGTCACAGATACGGCGCATGTTGCGCTCGCCGCATTTTGCATGCATTTCACTTTGCGCGCAGAGGCAGATTTGGGACAGGAGCCAAGGCAAGCAGGATCCGGACCCTTCTGCAAACCCCAACATGTGATGGTCGAATCAACGAGCCTTCATAATTGATCTTGTGTTCGGGGTGCCATGCAGGTCTGACCAGGCCTTGACTTGACTTTCGACTCCGGCCAATTTAGCCAACTCATCGATGACCTCCCGTGCGCACACAGCATTGATTTCTCGGACAAGAGATGACGAAAGCAAGTGCATGCGTGCTGGATACTTGCAAGAACATGCCTCTTGCTGGATCAGAGTAGAATCCATGTCAAAGACCACCAAGCCTTGGACACATGCGCAGCAAGTCGGGGCAATTTCAGCAGCCGGACACTGAGCAGACAGCAGGTCAAGCTAAAATTCTAAATATTTCATGCAAAAGCGCGTCGCATCCACCGTTCCAAATCATCACGCTGAATGGCAATGTCCTGGATAGGTGAAAGTCACTCGGATTCTTGAAGGAATTCCTGCTAAGACTGCGATGTAATTCTGCGTGGCCGCGAGGCTCTGCCGGACAGTTTGTGAACTTTGCCCGAATTCAGTGTAGTTCCTCCCCCTGGACACTCAAACGCCTATGATGATATGGATTCGAAGCCGAAATACAGCGCCCTGTCGCTTGGAGACATCCACCTCAGATGTGCACAGATGTGCTATGCCCCAACACAAATCGGACGAAACTGGCTCGGATGTGCGCAGGCGTGCTATGACCCAATACGAATCGGACGAACTGGCAGAAAGACACACAACCAAGAATCACACACCTTCACATGTGTTTGTAGGTAGAAACGAATACATAAACATAGTTAGACATGTAAAGATATATGCATATATTGATATACTAATGTACACATACATACGTACACGCTTAGGGCTAGGGGTTTAAGGTCAAACAAACAACCAAAAACACAAACATACATACATGCTTACATACATACCTTGACACAGATATGAGCGGCTTCGTATGATCCCTTGCATTTCTGCACAGCGTTAATACTCTGAAACCGGCAAGTGGTTGTCAAACTCCGGCAGGCAGAATTTGATAGACCCTTGGTGTGGGATACAAACCTACGACATTTCGAATTTCGTTGCGTCCAGCCTCAGCACCTAGGACTCTATAGACACTCAGCACATTCCCCGTTCCCATACGTATCATGCCACTACATGCCACTACAAACCCGATGCTTTCGATTGCGTTCGTCGTGATGCCTGCAGAGTCTAGCCGGAGACTAACTAACTAAGCTTCCGGGCTCAATCCCTGACAAATCTGACAACAAGCACTGAGGATTTCGACTCATTGCTCCTCTCATCCTGACGAGCCATATGGTTCTAGCCCGCACGATGTCGCAAATTTTGTGACGACCCCGTCAGAACCCATCCTAAAGCCCGAACTTGGAGCTCTGAGTGCACGTCTTCCCTATTCGATTAGCGTCTGACCCCCTGTACATTCAAGTTGCTAGCACATCTAAGGGCATGTGGAGTCTGCGTAATCATTGCCCTACACTGACTTGCAAGTTCCATAGTTGTACTAATCCCGTCAGAAGCTTGGTTTTAATCGTTGCTTTGGAGCTAACAGTTCATCCAGTCGCGATTGTTTCCAGACCCTCGTAAGTACATCCATCGTTAGCACAGGTTTGTTGAACATTGTTGAACAGGCTGGCAGGAGTCTTAAGTGCCCGGTTCAGGCTTAGCTCTCTTTCTCTCTTTCTGCGGGCCTGTGGGGAGGATTGCTTCCCCCAGTGCGCAACTGCGCACCCCATTTTGGAGCGGATCGGATGATAACAAAGCACGTCTAGGCCTCCGCCCCGACACAAGGAGAGCTAAAGAGAAGCAACACCATTGAAGAAGTACACAATACTACATCAGCGTTAAGCCTCTCTCTCGCTCTCTCTCTCTCTCTCTCTCGCTTGCTTGCTTGCTTGCATGGCGTTTGGAGGAGGGGCAGATCCCCCACCTCCTGCGCTCCAGCGCTACGCCAGTGTCCGCTTTAAGTCTGTGGAGTGAGACGTGCACGGCCCCGAAGACCCCGCCTCGTTGACTTTGAAGGGCTTTGTGCAAGTGTCGGTGGTTGCTGTCACTGTCCCCGTCGTTGCAGGGCTTTTTGGGCTATCCATGGTTTCCACAGATCTTCACGCCGTTGAATCCCATACATGGTCACGTGACAACATTGGTCACACAGCAGACAGCATGTAACCATGCTACAACATCACACCTTCTTAGTTTGGTTTCGGTCGACGGCTCACGACGACATATGTGCTTTATTGTGTGGTTCGTGGATGTTTGCTGTGTGTCGGTGCGGATCCCCGAGGGCCGGGAAACATAGGGCAGGGAATACAACAGCTACGGGAACGTCACACACACAAGGGGACCCCGCACCGGTGGTGGTGATGCTGTGGTGCGGCTGCAGCAGCCTATAGGGGTTAGGAACCAACAGCAGGAGGGCAACACAAGCCACTAGTAGGGAAAAGCTCACTGAGGCCCCCGCAGCTTAGTGGAGCGTGGTGTCTGTCCCTACTTTGTTTGTTTATATACTCAGCTTTGCCCGCATATTGCGGCAGAAAAGAGGCCGGTGCTCACTGCTGAGGTCTCGGTCACTTCCGCTGCTCCGCACCACTCGGGTAGAAGAAGCCAGGCTCCAGTCCCATTCGTCGGCGAAGTCGTCGTCTTTCCCTCCATTCTGCTCTGTCGCGGCGGTTGCGCTCTATACGAGCTTCTTCCGTCAGCGGGGCCGATTTACGTGTGCGGCCATTTGGGGCCCTTGGTGGCGGTGGGCCTTCTGGTTCTGCCGGTCGTCTGGACCCCCATGCGCTGCTTGGCGGTTCCGACAGTTCTTGTTTGGTGGTGTCGTCGTTGTCCCCCTCCTCGACCTCATCTTGACTGTCACGGCTCCAGTCTGGCTCCTCAGATTCTTCTCTGGCGGTCCCCGTTGGTTCTCCCCTGTCGTCGTGGGGCTCCGTCTTCTCGCCGGTTGGGGAGGCATCCTCGAAAACGTCCTGGTCTGGATGTAGCCCCCTGTGTTGAGGTTCTTGGTCACCCGGCGGGACTAGCTGTGCGGTCTGTGGCTGAGTGTCGAGCGCCGGCGCCGAGGCAATCAGGTAGTAGGCGTCGTTGTTGTGGGTCTCCAGGATCGTCTCGGGGGGCTCCTGGTGAGTGTGCTTTTCCTTGTCCTCGTGCTCCGAATCCTGTAGTGCTGCCTTCTGGTCGTAGGCGTCGTCGTTGTGCTCGGCGGGTACGCTTGTCTGTTGCCTGTGGGATTTCACGGGCTGCGCCTGCAGCGAGAGGGGAGACTCCCCGCAGGACTCCTCTGGTGGGAGCAGTCTTGTTGGCGGTGCTGGTCTGGAGGTCTTGCCTGCTGCTGCTCTTGCTGCCGTGTCTCTTCGGGGGCCTCGGGTGGTGGAGACTCAGCTGTTGGCGGTTGCCTGGTGGCTGGCCCCGCTTCGGTTGTCTGCTGTTCGCAGTCTGCTCGCTTCCTGTGCCTCTTTGTTTTTTTGGGGTTGTGTCTGCGGCTCGTTGTAGATGCCGGGCACGTAGTCGAGGATGGAGTTCCATGCCTCTTGCTCGAATTCCTCGTCCTGTGGGCCCCAGGGCCCTGGTGACGCTGGCTGGGCTCGGCCTTGTGGGGTTCCTTCGCGCTGGGTCCCCGTAGGCGCCGGCAGGGGTGATTGTCTCTGGCTGTGTGGCGGTGCTGCGCCGTCTCAGCTGCTGCTGCTCGTGCTGCTCGAGGAAGAGCTGTGCGATTTGGAGGTCGCCGGCGTGCTTCCGGTGGATCGTGTTGTAGGTGCCTTCGGTGGTGGTCCTCTGGTAGTAGGGGTCGACGGCGTGGGTGACGTCGAAGGCCGTGTAGGGTACAGGCTGGGTCTGAGCGGTTGTGCCCTCCGTGCCAGCTGGGGCCTTGGATGCATCGCCGACATTTCGGCTTCTCTGTTGTGGATGGCATTGTCTCCGGAGAGCCCCAGGTCGCCGAGGTCGATGTAGGTATCGCGTCCGTGCCGTTGGAGATCGCGATGGCCCGCCGCTCTGCACAGTTACTCTTAGGGCACTCTACCTCACTTGAAGCCGAGAGGCTACTTGTCACTTTCAATGGGGTATGCTGTGTCCCCGCTCGGTGCTTTGGTTTAACTCGGCTTGAGGGGGCAGCTGGGGTACAGGGCCCCACTTGATGCTCAAACTCAGCCAACTTTTTCTCTAAGGCGAGAACCTGTTCTTCGGACAACTCCTGAATGCTGTAGAGGGCGGCTTGGACCCCTTTTGCGACCTTGTTCTCGACCTCCCCGATGAGTCTACTGACTGGTGCGAGCCCCTCCTCGATGATGCCAAGGGTCTCTTCACTAAGTCGTTGTTGTTGTTGCGCCAGGCCTTGTTGGAGCTCGCTGCGGAATGCCCAGACGATGGAATCCACAGTCAGTCTTGTT